CGACTCGCGGCACACCTGGCCGATGCGGCACGCGAGCGTCATCACCGAGTCGATGAGGGTCTGGACGGCGGGGTCGTCGCACCCGAGTTGCGTGGAGTCCGTCTCGGCGGGGGCGTGGCGGTGGTCGCCACCGACGACGAGCGTTCTCAGCGGGATGAAGCGGCGAGGCAGGCACAGCTCCCATATTTGCGCGCGGATCTCTCGCGGCAGTGAAGGGCAGAGCGGGAATGTGCCCTTGGCACCGGGCATCTGGGTGTACATGTTGCTAGGTTGTACATTGATGTTGGGGGGGAGGGGGCTTGGTTGGGCTTGGTGTTCTTGGGAGGGGGGGGATGGGAAGGTGGAGGCGTTGGCGAGGGCACTGGAGGGGGTGATGGTGTTGGAGAAGGGGGGGAGGGATCGGTTGAGTGATGGGAGGGTTACGTATACGGTGGATTTGGAGGGCGGGAGGAAGAGGAGTGGTGGGCAGGGGGATACGTTGACGGGGAGTATTGCTACGTTTTTGGCGTGGCGGAAGGCGTATCTGGATGGGCTTTGGGAGACGGGGGGAGGGTTGAAGGAGGAGGAGTTGGTGGCGCTGGCTGTGTTTGGGGGGAGTGCGGTTACGAGGGTGAGCAGTGCTTCTTTTTCCTGTTGTTCATCATTTGGGTTATGGTTTGGTGTGAACGTGGTTGGTGGCTAACGCTCGACAGGAATGCTCACGCCTCGCCTTTGCAAAGAAGGGACGCAGTCTACAGGCGAGCGACCTCACCGACGAGGTGCACACAGCCTTCCTGAACCTCTTCGGTGAGGTGGACGATGACAGTAGTGGCGCGAGGCTGTGAGCGGTTGCTGGCGCTCGCAATTTACGATCCTGTGTGGTCCCGGTGGGTGCGGTCGACACCGGTGCCGGGACGGGAGATCGGCTGCGCTGTGACCTCCGCGGGCTGCCTTGACCTCATCTCGTTCGTCTCACGGTTTCTCGGCCGACTCGTGTGCTCGGGCGCACACACGGATCTCACTTTAAATGACGCACGATCGGTCTTCCGCTGGTGCGTCTGAGCACAGACAGAGAGGCAAACTCGACGCTGCGCCATCGGAAGTTTTTGGCGAGACGCACCTCGTATGGTAGCAAATAGAACATCACGAAGCATTATCTGGTGAGACAAGTTACAACTTTGGAGTCCTTGGGAGACTGCCCCTAGGCCTTCTGTAGAAACTTGGGTCATCAACCCACCGGCCAGGTTAGACAGAGGCAGCGCGAACTTGTGGCAAACGTAAAGCCGTCCGGGCATCGGGAGCAAGTACTTGCCCTCAGGCTTGGTTACACCCGTTTATTGTGAGGCAACACACAAGATCGAGATGCAAGCAACCTGCCCAAAGATCTCTCCTGCAGTTACGCTAAGATCCGGGCGCGCTTTTCTCCGGCAGAATCTGACAGGAAGTGATAACGCTACTGCCGCAAGGGATATTGTCTGCCCTACTTGGGAACCATACTCTGTGAGAGAAGCCGAGCCTCGCCTTTGCTCTCCCTTGAGCGTGCACATGTGCGGGCGGGCACGTTGCCATGTGAGCTGAACGGCGGACCCAAGATGGGTAAACGCCACCGTTGGCGCTGGATGCCTCCTGGAGCGGCCACCAAAGTGGGATAAACGGTGGTCGCGGAGCTGGGAAAGAGAATGGTCCAAGAGGGCTGGAAGTGTCTTGCTTCTCCCAGCCGAGACGGACAACGCACCCGCATAGAAACGGATGGTGGCCAAGACATGCGTCGGCCCAGGGATCCAATGGGCGCTGCCGATCCGGCACCACCCCGAAAGCCTGCTTTGGCCGTCGACACCAACGCCAGACAGACCAAAGATCCTAGTTGACACACCCCATGTACGGACGTACTGGGGCGGGGCATGATACAAAAAGTGCTCAGCCAAGATGCATAGTTACCTTGTCACAAGGCGGTCGCCCTGCGTTGTGACATTCCATCCTCGGTATCGCCAGTCGGTCTGAGTTTTGCGTTAACAACTAGCGCCATGCCGGAGCCCCGGGACCCAGCGCTCCGGCACCCTTGTGGATCTCCCGAGCCTAGCGATTGGCCGGGGTAGAAGCCGTGGGGGACATTTGCTTGGGGCAATAGGGGAGGGGGGAGGGGGCCAGGGGGGCAATTGAGACTTAAATGAAGGCGAAACTGAAAAACTGCGACTGCAAGAAAGAAACATGGCTCGTTGATGCATTGTATTTGGCCTTGAGAAGTGGCCTCGGTGCTCGGACACCTCAGCCCGAGAAGCAAGTCTTGCTGTATCGGCCGGGGAGGAAAACTGGACGCGAGAAACCCCCCCGTCTTGAAGACAAGAAGCAAGTCGCCGGGGAGATCCCCCGCTAAGGGTCAGATAATAAAAGGCCGGCCTGGCAAAGATGGCACACATTGTTTTCTGGAAATCTGAGAGTCGTGGAGACGTTGAGGGCGGTTGGAGCCGAGTGGAACGGCGTCAAGACCAACAGAAGCCACCGGCTCGGTCGGTGCAGCCATGCACGGTTGATCACAATGCTGCATGCGAAAGAAAAAATAACGTCAGTCGACAACAAGCTAGGGCTTGCCCTGCAGGAAGACCTGTCTTTTGTTGTTTTGATGAGAGCTCGGCGAGAGTGGTCGTCGAGGGTGGCAGGCGTTTGTGCGTGCATTGTTGACCTCCAAGCATGATGCAGACACCCGATTGTTTGGGCCTGTGTTGTGTTACCGCCGAGGGATACAATGAAGGCGTTATCTGAGATCTCAAAAGCCAAGCAGCGGGTCGAGTCCTTGGGCTGAGCAAGGTTTCGTTGGAAGTTCAGTTGTTGCCGAGCCAAGCATCCAAGTTGGGAAGTGGACCACTTGCTGTCAGCTGGTGGACCCCGGGCTGGATATGACTGGTCAGCTGTCAAGCAGATTTTGTGGTCTTTGCATCCCTGCTTTTGTTTCCATCCCTGCCATCCAATCCAAGTTGCAGTCCGTGCGTCAGGACTCCTGCTGTTTTCATGAAGCTCTTCCATTTTCACACCTCGCTCTTCCACTTGCAGCCGATTCCGCCTGGAAGTTGCTTTTTCTTGCCTCCACACCCAAACGATGGTCGTCAGCTGTTCGCCATCCTTCCGGTTGGACGGAGGCGAGGCCGCCCTAAATCCCAGTGGGAGACACTAGCGTCCTGGAAAAGCAAGCCTCCCTTGAGTCCCTTCCATGTTGTTTCAACCGAAATCTCCAGTATTTGACCTGTCTGGTCGACAATTCGATGCTTGGAGACCATGGGTGTGGCACAGTGATACAAGGGGGTGTTACGACAACCAGAGCACGGCCGCCATGGACGATGGCCCTGGAGGTCTGGGTGCCATGACTTGGGGTCCTTTGGACCACTTGCAGTCCGAGATCTGCCAGTCACGGATCACGGATCGTGGTTTATTTTCGATAGGAATCGTGCTGTTCTGAGTGTCATCTTAACCATATTCCTTATTCGGCCTACCGCGCTGTTTCCCTTGCCTGCTGCCCCTCGACCCTTCACCCACCCCACTCACTTCTCATCTGCAGCCGCCGGCTAGATGCTCGACGTCGAGAGCGAGCCAGTCGAAAGTGGGTGAAGCCCCCTGCCTTCCGTTTGCTGCGCAACAATCCACCAGACCCGTCCTCGGGACGTGGTGCTTGGACTTATATCCAACTCATTGGACCGTGATCATTTGCCTTCTGTCGACCCCCGGGCCACTCATCACAACAGAGCTTTCCGTTTCTTTTCTGCTTTGCCTCTGTGGGGGCAAACAGGGCCAGCTTTCGGGTATTCCTGTTGCGAGTTTTCGTCCTGGCATGGCGATACTACACCAGCAAGCCGCGATAAGCATAGAGCACTGACGTTGCTTTTGGTCCTCTGCTTCGTACATCCCCAGCCGGGCAGTCGTCCGCCGCCTCTATGGTCCGAACTAGGAGTCAGAAATTCAACTGGAACTCGCCGAGTTTGCCCAAAAACGTGGCCTGAGACCTGAACGGCCGCTAGAAAATGTGAAAAACAGGACCGGACTTCTTTCATGAAAGCCCGGTTGTTAATCGCCCACCTCGGACCCCCGTTCTCCTTTCCGGCCACAACAACAAATTCCCACGACTTCCGGTTTCTTGTCATGAGATTTGGATTCCTCTTCCTACCTGCCGTGGAATACTTGTCCAACCAACTCGCAAAACCCCGTTATTAACTCTTGCGTTACGGCGCTGTATTACACGCTGCCAAACAACTTTTCGAGTTGGCTGTTGCTACTACCGATTCGGTCGGCGCATGGTCGCTGGAGATTCGCAAATCACACAACAGCAAGCACAACCGTTTTCTTTCCACTGCCGGTCTCTACCCCTCTTGCTTGAAGAGTCACCTTTTCCTTTCTCGCCGTCCAAGTTAGAGTCACAAAAACTGGACTTGGAGTGAGAGGCTTGCTTTACACGCTCACTCCCATTCGAGTAAGTCAATGCTTCCAATTACATTGGTAATTCTGTTACTGATTATTCCCTTTTCTCGTTGCAGTTTCAGAAAAGAGAGCAACCATGGCGATGAGGTTCGAAAGGCTCGATAAACAGCTTGACCGACTGGAAAAGCTGTTTTCCAGGAAGAAGAAGACCACGGAGCCTCATGCCTCGGGCGTTCAAACAACAACTCGACCTGCGACCCCAGTGCCATCACTGGATGGTTTCGATGCGACTCTCCGGAAATTTCCGCAGACGTCCTACATTAGACCTACATCATCTCGTATGGTGGCGAGGGAAGAGGTGATCTTGTCGCCGAACGCTGGCCGGCGGGCTAGGAGCCTTCCCGAGCCACCAAGCACGCCCCGTCTTCCGCCCTCAGAATCCACCATCAGTAACGAAAACGACGGCTGCCCTCCCATTCCGGCGCGGTACTCTTCATTTCGCCCGAGTGACGATCAACGGTCGTCGTCGGTTTACCCCGACTCGAGCAATGATGGCCCCTCATTGGGTCTCCTGGAGTTTAGTTTTTCCACCTCGTCCAGCGACTTTGACTGCGATTCATCACCAAGACGGCGTTCTAGGCCTATCTCGAAGCCGTTAATTCGAACTCAATCAGTTTCTGCCTCCCCAAAGGCTCGGCTTGACCGGAAGCGGTACTCTACGGTTTCCCCAGACGAGGCCTCCCTTCCCGAGGGCCAAGTCGGCACCTCGACCCAGGAGTACAAGACTTCGGATCTAACGCCGCTGCAGCGAGAAAGCCACTGCTTAGGGATTGCTTCGCAAAAATACCTGGCGCCATCCCTGTTGCCTACCGTTTCGCCAGCCAAGGCCGGCTTGAACCAGGCAGTCAACCGCATTGGCAACACCTCACAACGACCAAAGAGCCTGTTACCCATCGCAACCGACGTCAAATATGCCAGTGAAAGCTTGCGCAAGTCCATCAGCTTATCGAACCTATCAACTACGAAGACTGCAGAGTCCGACACTGTTCTTAAGGAGCCCAGTCTCAAGGAATTCCTCGCTCTGAGTGACGATGATATCGCTGACGGTCACGCTGCCGACCGAGCCAGACCTTCAGCCACCAACCCTCCGTGTTTTGGGTTACCGCCGAATCCGTCCTCGGCTTCCACGCCCGTTCGAACCAAGCCAGCTTACCCCCTGCTCACGCTCTCACCTCCGCTGGCCAGCCGCCCCGCCGCCGCCGCAGCCTTCGAGGCTGCAAGAATTGCGACAAAGTACCAATTCGACCTTGTCTACGTCGTCAACCTATGGCCGACCCACATGAGCCGGCCCAGCCGCTCGTCGCCTCTTAGCCAATTCTGTGGCACTCCCCTCACCACGTCGCCCACCCGAACCGCCACCCCTTCCCCTCCCCAGACCCCGGTGTCCAACGCCTCCAGCTACGACAGCGGCTTCGAGTCATCGCGGACGCGCGCCGCGCCCCGCGACAGCGTCCGGAGCGCCACAACCGGGCGCCTCCTCGCCGCGTACGGCCTGCCCTCCATCATGTACCCGTTCCGCATCTCAGCCCCGGTCCACCAAAAGGTGCTGCGCACGCAGGGCTGGCTCGAGTACCGCAACGAGACCAACGCGCAGGACGAGTTCGCCCGCGGCTACAGCTGCGCCTTCTACACGGGCCACAGCGCACCCCGCGGGCGGGAGTCCAACCCCGACGCCAAGCCGAAGCAACAGCAACAGCAAAAGAAGAAACCCGCTAACCGCGGCATCATCTTTGCGGCGTTCCGCCTGCCCGGCGAGGACGGCGCCCCCGTCTGCAGCAGCCCCGAGGAGCTGGAGGAGCTCCACAAGGATTCCGAGGCGCTCGTTGACATGCTGATCGACATCCACATGGCGCAGCGCCACCGGCGTGTCCCGACCACGCCGACGCGTCGGTGTGTTGGCGGTGGCGGCGGGCGCATGATGGAGGCCGCGGCACCGTTGGTTAGTATCTAGGTTGCCGAGATGGCAGAGCAGGCTCTTTGGGCATTTTTGCGGTATGCGTACCGACGGGTGATGGCGTCACTTGTTTCTCGAGGCTTGCCACCATGGCATGGTCAGGTAGCCGGACTTGACGGCATCGCGGGATTTAGAGATCTCTTGTTTCAGCTCCGGTTTCCAGGATTCGTCGCTGGGAACGGCGGAGAGATACCCAACCCCTGTGGAGGGTTGAGTTTGATGAAGAGACGAGCACCGAAATGATGGTATCATGGATGAATTGGGCGGACTTTTGCGTTTTCTTCTTCTGGGACAGTACTTTAGATATCCATGAGCTTCAGGCTACGGAAAATGAATCTTTGATAATTCTGCCCATAATCCTTTGGTGCTTGCTTCCGGTCAGCCTCTGACAAATACCTAATACAAGATTGCCCAAGTGACCAGAACTTGCCTCCGAGGCATACAAACTGCACTGCGTTTATTGCACTGGGCTGGTGACTTTTGAAACAGTCCGTCCTCACTCCAAGAATTCTTGGTCAAGCGGATAAGGCTCACGGAATTTATGGGATTGGTAAGCCGGCATAACGCCGGTCGGTCTCTGAGGCCGAGGCTCGACTGAAATTCAGACCGAGCAGTGGACGAGACGGCTCGTCAAGGTATACGACCCTGTATTTACATGTCCCGAAAAGAACCCCGCGACCCGTTTTGCATCAACCCGCAAAGTAATCACCGCCCCAGAGATCCCGATGGTGCTGAGTCCCAAACTCCCCTGAAATGCCCAAGTTTTTGTTTTATTCACTCATCAACCTTTAACCCATAAGCCCACGTTTAGCGGACAATGGCGTCGAAGCGCTGCTTGAACCACTTGATGGTGTCGTCGCGGTTGATGCGGTGGCTGGCACCGATTCTGGCCTTGCAGCGGCGGCGGCGGGAGACGCGCTCACCAGGGCGGGTCATGCAGCAGTAGAAGTCCATGCCGTAGATACCGATACCGGGGTCGTACTTGATGCCGAGATCGATGTGCTCGCTGATGCCGAAGCCGAAGTTGCCGGTCTCGCTGAAGTTGCGCTTGCGGAGCTCGTACTCCTTAACCTTGAGGCCACGCTCGAGAATCTCCTCGGCCTTGGGGCCACGGACGGTGACGTGCACCGAGATCTTTTCGTTACGGCGAATGCCGAACGTGCGGACGGTGTACCGGGCCTTGCCTAAAAACCAACAGGTCAGCAAAAACAGAGAAATCGCAAAGAGAATTGCGAGGTAAAAACTCACTGTAAACCGGGGTTTGACCGGACAGCTGCTCCAGCACCTTGGCAGCACGGGTCAGCCTGTCACCAGACTCGCCGACAGAGATGTTCAGGACGAGCTTCTGGATGCGGAGCTCCCGCATGGGGTTCTGGGCCTTCTCAGACTGATCATACTGTTAGTTAAATCCCTTTAATATTTACGAATGCGCTCTTACCATGGCGGCGGTGTTGTCGATATTCGGTGCTGGGCGACTTGTCGATGTACAAGGAATTTCGAAAGATGAGGTCAATTTTCGCTCCTCGAATTTGGGTTGTGCGTGTGGGGAAACATTTGCCTGCCGCGGTTTCGAGGACGGAGCTTGGTGGGGGACGGCAAGCCGTGGCGGCTGGTTCGGTGGCTGGATTGTATTGACTGTGGCTGAAGCATCCAAGCTCCTTCAGCCTCGCGTTCAAATTTCCAGGTCAGCCCGTCTCCGCCACGCTCCCTTGTTACTATCAACCATCCCGCGCGCCACTTTGAACTCTCCGCCGAGACCAAGAAGAGACCGCGACTGACAAGAGCTAAGACTTCTGTCTACATAAACCAATTTTTGAAACTTGGGAAGCTACTTTGTAGCATCTCACTGCCAAGATGTCGGCGACAAACAAGCAGGGCAAGATGGTGAGTGCATCCCCCCGCCACACCGCTGTGCAGGCATCCATGTTGACATCGGAGGACTGACAAGGCGCATTGATTTTAGGCCGGTTACGTACGTACTATTTCATTGTCGCGACGATCGACGCAGCTGCGATCGAGGTACTGATATGCTCCCAGATCAACTACCGGATGCGCGTCACCTTGAACGATGGGCGCCAGATGACCGGCCAGGTGTGTATCCGGCCCTGCCTTTCCGAACATGGTGAGACTTTGCTAACCATTCTGTCTAGATGCTGGCTTTCGATAAGCACATGAACCTCGTTCTCGCCGATACGGAGGAATTCCGCCGAAGCAAGCGCAAGCAAAACAAGCCCGCCGCCCCTGGCGCCTCGTCGTCCACTACGGTCCTTGAGCAGGAGGAAAAGCGAACCCTGGGGTTGACGATTGTCCGGGGCGCTCACATCGTTTCCCTTTCCGTTGAGTCCCCGCCGCCCGCAGATCCCAGTGCGCGTTTGGGCAAGTCGACAGGTGCCGGAATCACAACGGCACTTGCTGCCGGCCCCGGTGTCGCACGGCCAGCTGGACGTGGTGCGGCTGCTCCGATCTCTCTCGCCGGTCCTGCTGCCGGTGTTGGAGGTGCTGCCCCTCCTCCTTTCCCAGGCTTCCCTGGTGCTCCCGGCTTCCCTGGGCGCGGTGGCCGTAAGTACATCCTTCACCCTCTCCTGTCGTCCAACCGCTGACCTGGTAGCAGCTGCGCCGCCTGGGTTTGGTGGTGCTTTCCCGCCCCCTGCCGGTTTCCCTGGTGCGCCCGGCTTCCCTCCGGGATTCCCTCCGGGCGGAGCCCCGCCCTCGGGTTTCAACCCTCCCCCGCGGCGATAAATGTGCTGGCTTTGGTTACATTACTGATACCCGGGTCGCACCTCGATGTAAGGCTCTTGATGGAGTGCTTTCGGAAATTTATTGCATGTCGCTATGCTATAGGCTAGCTGGCGATCTCTACCCGGATTTACGGAGAATGGTTGGTTTGGGCGGCGTTCAGGGGTTATGAAAACTGCGATTAGGGGCGGATTGCAGCCTGTGTTCAGCCGAGGGTAGAGATGCTCTTCTCGACATAACTGGAAGCGATAATAGAAGTCACCCGCTGCGCCGGTGTAATCCGCACAAGTGTCTTTGATACCATTGGTGTGAGTGTTTGCATCATGGCAAGCTGGCGGGCTTGTTTGGCTTGGGAGGTCCGTGCGGGAATCTGGACCCAAAATTATTTTCCAAACCCGGTACGCATGTCCGATCTCGAAGCCAAACTATCACCCATTGAATCCGCGAACTACGACGAGGGCAACGCCACCACAGTATTCACCGTCAAAATGGCCGCTTTCGTCAAAGCAGTAAATGCGAAAATTCGGGCACACCCCGTCCTGAACTATGTCTGCTCGACACGTGAGTTCACTGTTTCCATACGCAACCCGCCCCGAGCACACCGGCCGGTCATCGGACAACCCCCCCGATTGTACCGAACTGTCGCTTTCCGGCACCGTATTCAACCATGAAAGGCCGTTTGGCGCCTGGAGGAGATCTGATGGCCATGGCCCGTCTTTATCGGACCAATATCTCCATCATAGAATTGTGTGCCGAGGGGGCAATTGCCGCCATGAGGGCTTCTCGGGCATTGCTTCAAAGCTTTTGGCCTGCCAGCACGCAATATGAGATCTGGACTGACATGAGGTTGATATAGATTTCTGGGGCCCCGTCTCCAATTTTGGTATTCCCGTCGCCGCGGTCATGGACACCCGCAAGAGCCCCGATCTGTACGTTTGTTCCCTCCCTTCACCGCCCAAACCGATGCCTCGAGCCCAGGCGACATCCGCTTTTCACCGGCCCTGCAACCGCAAACAAGTTTCCCTCCCACCAAGCTAACGATGCTCTGTCCCTAGGATCTCCGCCCCTATGACCTTTGCGCTCTGCGTCTACTCGGCAACCTTCATGCGCTATGCGCTCGCCGTCACACCCGCGAACTACCTGCTGTTCGCCTGCCACTTTGTCAACGAGGGCGCCCAGCTCACTCAGGGGTACCGCTACCTGCAATGGACGCGGTGGGGCGGCCGCGAGCAGGCGGCGCTCACCGGCGCCATCGACGCGGGGAAGGAGAAGGTGGCCGCTGTGGAGGGGAAGGTGCAGGAGATGGTTGGCAAGAAATAAACTGGGATACATATCAAAAGTGAAAGGGAGCCGAATCTGGTTTCTGTCGCGGGACACAGGCGGCCGGGCGGCTTGGGAAACCGTCTTGTCTCTCTCGCTATTCGCACCGCCTCTCCAGCGGAGGAAACGAAATGTTTGGCGTCGGATGCGGGCCCAAAACGGCAAGTTCAAGTTCCGCCGTGTGTTACGGACGACTGTACGATCTAAGCGTGGCGTGGGGGTTGGGAATGCTTGCCTTGAGCGGTGAGGGCACTTTTTTCCCTGCTCGGGTCTGATCTGTTTACCTTTGCTGTCGGGCGGCGCGGGCGGCCGGGGCATAGAAGGCGCGGTCTCACAGCGTTCTTTCCAGCATTGTTTTTTTCCGTTTCCCGGGCTAATAAGAAAAGGATTGGCTTTTGGAAGCGAAGGCGTAGCGATCGTTGAATGCCAAGCGAACTGGCCTTCAGAATAGACATGGTTCCCGTTCAGCTGCCGTCCTCAGTTGCATGGGCTTTGAGGGCGTGCCACCAAGGGCCAGGTCAGAAGACTCAACGGCCGAAACCTCCCTGTGTGCTGCTTTGCCGTTTCTTGGTATCTCTGAGCTTTCCAACAGATCAACTCCTTGGCTGTCTCTCTCCAGAGACGTGGCCAATGATGCTTCGACAAATATCCGCCGAAATGTTATAGTGTCCGAGTGCAACGGAGTTCGGTCTCTTGGCAACTCTATTCATACTCAACTGATGATTGATTACACCGAGACAACGCCTCGAAACCGACGTGCCAAGAAGAGGACGGTGTCTGATCTGATAAGCTCGATGCTGGAGGGGCTGCTCCGGAGCCGGCGCTTGGCAGGGCCTCGCCGCCCTGCTCGTCGTGGGGGTTGAAGCAGCACACCACGACCCTAGTCAGAGTCCATTACCACAACTTTTACTCGGTTCGCCGGATGCGGTATACCTCGATGTAACGCATATTGAGACGAGGTCAGCCGCCTCCATCCATCCTCCTTCCCCTCCAGTCGGCGCAGCGTCCGACAAGTCAGCATGGTTGCAATTGGTCCCTAGCACTCAATCCGATGATCGAGGTATTGGAAAGCGATGAGGTAAACGACACAACCCAAGCTGGCTTCCCTCTTCTTGGGGAAATGGAGCATACCTGAGCGACCCCGTGACCGTTTTGTGGCCGTGTTTCAAGCACGAGACTGGGTATTGAAGTTCTCCTCCGTTGGACTTTCTCCCCCCCTCTGATTTAGTGTAGATTACGCACAGTGAGATGGTTCCGGATTTAACGGAATGTTACCAGTGCGAATCCATGTTGTTAAGGATGCTCGCCAGTCGTGCCGAGGAGGCTCCTGGCCCGTCTTGGCGGTCGGTTCCCATCTCGATGCAGACGGCAATGGGATTCTTGGCGAGAGCGAGAAGAGATGCCCCATGTTTCCAACCTCCAGATCTGTATGCATTACCCTTCCCAGACCGGCAGTAGCCTAGGACACGTTGCAGCTGTGTGATGCAGCTTTGTGATAGTGCCCAGACGTGGGACTTGCTCGCAAATGGCGGGGGTTGTCAAATCCCCGCATTTCGCACATCGTGAGCAGGAAGTGTGTGTGGTTGCCGGGGACCGTTGTGGTGCGTGCGTCAGTTTGGGACCCGAGATTTCGGATATGTTGGGTGTTCCGTGGCTATCCTCGACGGACTTATCCTCGGCTAGACGATAACGCCGGAATAGATCACTAGGAGGATGCGTCGAAAAGAGCACCTGATGCTTACTCGGGAGTCGGCTACTGCGGTATTGGCGTGTTGGACCAGAACCTCGGGCAACGGCAAAGGCCTGTTCACATCGGTTCGACCAGGGTTGAGGCTACCACCCCTCCCCAGGCGTCCGTGGGAGGGTTGGGGGTTCTGGGTTGGACCTTAGCAAAACGACTTAGATACATGTTGTCTTTGGTTGGCCGGCGGGATTGAGCCAGCAATGGGGGCCCTGCTCAGGTGGGGGAAATCATCTTGTGACCGGCGATGGCTTGTTCACCCCGCGGCCGTAGCTCTCCCAAGCTTTGAGACACGGACTGACGCAGTATACATGGCTCGAGCGTCGGACCTGGAAAGCTGAGGTGAGATATGTTTCGTGCATGTGCAAGGAGCTCCGATTTCCCGCCTCCAATTGGCGGGCGCGGACCACCTTCTTGAGGCTTGCCAAACAAGGCTGGCTGCGCCTGTGCTTAACTTGACCACCCTACTATCAAGACCGGGTATGTGGGTGTCAAAACCAAGTGTCAAGCCAGCGCGAAAAGAATCATTGGCGCCCCGCATTACCGGTTATCTTGCGCCTGCGAACGCTCGAGTAGGGGGAGCTATCAAGGTAATTCCTGTGTGAAGCTTGTATCATCAAAAAGGGTTGGCCTCGATCAAACAGACCCAGCTAGGTACCTTGCAGTACAAACCTGTTGGCTCCTAACCTGGGACAGCCATGGACCATGGGAAAGCGGCGATGACTGGCGCTGGGCCACTCTTAGCTTCCATGCCGAGATGCTTGGTGAGCTCTTGCCGGTATACTATTACAAGTTTGGTGGAAATTTCCGAGGTTCTTTTTTATTTGTCTGTCTAAGGGAAGAGGTATGGACCTCGTTAACCGGAGCTTTCAAGCCAGGGGCGGGAGGCACTGACAGCCTAAGGGTTGCGCCCATGCCATGCCCGTCTACCCCACCATTGCGTCCGACCCCGCCGTGACCGCATACCCCTGCTCACTCGGAAACCACCCCACCATTCCCACCCCCATCCGCTGCCCTCGACTCTCTTTTTTTCTTTTCTTCCCTCCTCTCCTCGTCTTCCTCGTTGCAACTGACCGCCAAAGCAAACACCAATTGAGACAGCATGGCGGCCAACAAGCCAGTCACCAACAATGACGATGTCTTCGAGGAGGGCGATGCCCCTAAGGAGGCCCAGACCGTGCATCGCATCCGCGCCAACTCGACCATCATGCAGCTGAACAAGATTTTGGGTAAGTGGGCTCCCCGAGCCTGTGTTGCTGCCCTTTGAAACAAGTGGAAGAGAATTCTCAGCCGCTCTGAGACCACTCCCACTCCCTGTCGACACGCAGATCCCTTCGCCGAACCATCACAAGTCGAAATCATGGATAATAAAGGTGTTGCGCATGACAGTTGCCAACAGAGGTGAAATCCGTAAGTGGCACCAGATCGTTCTCTCTTGTCCTGGGGTGGCGCTGACCGTGTCTACTAGCTATTCGTGTATGTTCGACCTTGATACATTGTTTCCCATGCCGTATCAACATATGATGCTCATTCGTTTTCTTCTCCACAGATCTTCAGAACCGTGAGTCAC